AATTTCTATACTTGAACAATGATTTTCATTTCTAATACAAACTGGTTATATACAACGATTTATAGAGTTGACATTAACAGCAGATTAGCGTGGAATAACTATGTTCAGCACTTTACTATGGCTAAACTGGCATGAATTTTCAGAAAATCTACTGAAAGACATACAAGTCAAAGAATATTCCAGAAATAAAACGAACCTCATTATCATCACCTTCATCTTCATCAGCTTCGTCTTCATCGACAACGAAACCGGCCATTTCCTTTTGAATTTTGGCTTCATCATCTTCACCATCATCATCCTCTTCGTCATCCTCGTCATCGCTGCAACAACCAAAGGTAAAAATTCTCAATTCAAACCCGAAATGAAAATGAGTCATCGCAAATTAGAGAAAAAAAATATATATTAAAAAAGAAAAGCAAAATGAATGAACAAAACGGAAGAGATTAAATAAGATATTAGACATACGGTTTTCAGATTTCTAAAAAATTCATCCATTGGTATGAAATCTAACTCTTGAATATATATGTGATAATTTGGTGTATACAAATTCAATTATTAACTTGTCTGCTGACTCTTCCACCTACTATGAATGGTACAAAGATGGATATTTCAGTGTACTGGAAGCATAGTTCAACAAAAGTGAAAAATTGTAAATATATATATATCTTTCATTGCTACTTAATTGTAATAATCAAAATCATATTACCGTTACGTTATAATAACAATCTTGTTACAATGACAATCTTGAATGAATTAAAATGTAGTTGAAATTCCACCTCCTAATTCGTTTCTTTTTCTTTGCTTTTTCCTTTTTCTTTTGCCTTCGTTGCCGTTTAACTCGAGGCTCTAAATTATCATCATCAATGGATGTATCCGTCGTTTCACCGGAATTTTCTGACTCCTCCGCTTGATTGTCCAAAAACTCCGACATTCTTACCTTATATTTTCCTCATTAATTCCCCAAATTGTATACTGTCTGAAACTCTTACTTTTACTCAATAAATCCAACAGAAAATTTTGCAAGAACAAAGAAAGCAATGCATGACATCGATTGATAAAAAACATATGCGTATACATTGCTGATGGATCCTGCACCATTCCTCTTAGTATGATGCATTAAATGGATGAATCAATTAAGTATCGATTGATTTCATAACCCAATAATATTAGCTGATTTAATTACTTAATCTATACTCTGTGAATCCGAAGTATATTTTGGATGCAATGATGAAATAGTAGAAAGATACACACATAGGACAAACAATATCTCTAAAAAATAACCCAGTTGTCCTGAAAAAACCACTAATAAATTGATAACCGGAACAGGAATAATAATAATCCTTCCCGTAAGATTTCCAATGGAGTACAATGTACAATGTCCTGAATCAGTAAATACTACAGCTCATTCTGTTACAAATGGTGCGGAACGCAAATTGTTCATCTCACTAGAAATTTCAAATGTTACCTAAAAATTTTGAAATAATTAATTTTAGTTATAAGTGAGCAATTTGAATGAAAATGATAGATAATTACATAATGTTCAAAATTAACTTTTTCTAATTTATTTCAAACTTTGAAATGAACCAAAATTAATTATTTCAAAATTCATTATTTTAAAAATTTTAATATTAATTCTTTTTTTTTTGCTAGAAAATTTTAATTACAAGTTCAAAGGGCACGAAAAAAAGGGAAATATTATATTGATAAATGTTAGTTTAACTGATAAACGGAAATGAGTTAAAGAATAAATGCTATTAAATTCTTCTTTGAAATATCATCCAAACATTTCAAAATTATCCAACATTTAGCTAAACTTTCCACTCATTCATATATACATAATTGTTAAATTAATCAAATTATCTTTACTAATTAAAAATTCTTTTAAAATTAATAATTTTAATATATCCATTTGAAATAACACAATTATCATTTGATATAAAATTATTTTTAAAATTAATCAAATTAATTAATTAATTTAATTTCTTTAATTTTATCATTCTCAAACTTTTTTCACACCTCTTTTTTTCTTTCTGTTATTAAAAAAAGAACTTTTGAAAAGTGTAAATTTATTAATTAAATTTATTAAGAGAGAAAAAGGAAGAAGAAGCTGGAAACAGTTAGTAAATACAAAAGTTTTCAAAATCCCTTCAAATATTTCATTGAAACGAATGTTTGATATATTGCTGTTATTGTTCTTCTTTTTCCTTCTAACAGTGGTTGAGCTTAACTTTTGCTGATAATAAATTCTGTTTTATTGCTTTTAGTGAGATTTTTTTTAAAACTGATCTTAACGTTATCATTCGATGGCTTAACTTACTCTTTAACCATTTTATTATTATTAAAATTTTAAATTTAAAAAAATGAAAATAAAAAGTTAACTAAAATTTTTAGTTTTTTACTAAAAAAAAAATTATTGAAATAATCTGAAAGGAATTGCTTATTAATGCTAATTTTATCATAAAAGAATTGAATAATAATTAAATTCGAATTGGATAAAATTTAATTAATAATTTGTAAAAATAAAATAAAACAATTAACTTGGAAATGGATAAAATTTAATTAATAATTTGTAAAAATAAAATAAAATAATTAAATTCGAATTTGATAAAATTCAATTAATAATTTCATTTCTAATTTGTAAAAGATAAAATAAAATTTCAGCGAATTATTTTTTTGAAAATTCTGTAATCAAAATAGTTTGAATTGTTGATTTTACTGCAACTTTTCCATTTCCTTTTCATTCACTTCTTAGACGAATAAATTAATTAATTCAATTTTCTTTAATTAAAATTTATTAATTAATAATTTAACCTTTTTTCTTTCTTTTTAATTTTAATTTCTTATTCAAATTTTTAATTGGCAAAATTTAATACTTTTAATAATCAAACAGATTAACAAAAGAAACAGTTATGCTGTTCAAAAATTAATTATTCAAATATTCAAATGGGATATTTCCAGAATTTCCCATTAATTTATATATATATATATGAAACATTTATAAGTGAATGATTGGAATGAATGAAAAATGCTTTTAAATGATTGAAACAATTGAACAATTAATGATTGATGTTTTTGTTTACTTTAAATATTCCAACATTTTATCAGACTTAAAACAAATGGTCAAAATAAATTTACACTTTCCTTTCAATTATACTATTAAATAGAAAAAAATTTCAAAAATTATTTTTGATTGAAATTAAATTTTATATTTAACAATGTTAAACGAAGAAATAATAATTTCAACGCCGTAGATATAGTATTCCAATTTATGTAATACATTGAGAAATTACAAAAATTTCAATTGTTTTATTTCATATTAAACTCTTGCCATTATTTAATCGTTGAATGATATCAATCATACCATTTATGATTATCATTAATCATAATTGTTATTGATAATATTATATCATTATTAGGAGTGAATGATTTTATAACAAAATTTCGAATGAAAATCCAATTTATCTGATGATATACTGATAAGTTAAATAAATTACAACGATTAATAATGATAATAATATTTATATTATTATAGAAAATAATAATACTTTTCTTTCATTACATATCACATCTTCGTGTTTAAATTATTTTTCTTCTATTGATTAATTGATGAAAAATTTTGGTTTGCTTAAAATTAGTGAAATTTTTCAGAAAAAAATTAGCTCTAAAAGAAAATGAGAAATTAATAAGTGATAAATAAAACTAAAAGTTAATTAATCACTAATTAATCAAATCTATTAATTATAATTAAAATTATGGTAGTAACACCTATACAACTATTATTATTAGCATTAAGTTACATAAAAATTCGTTTTTAATTTTTCACTTTTTTTCCGAAAAACAAAAACAAAAGAAACTATTCCTATCTTTTTAATATTATCATTTATATTTAAATATTTAAAAAAAGATGAAAAAGAAAGAGAGAGAGAGAGAGAGAGAGAAAGAAGAGAAGTAAGAGAAGAGAGAATATAAAAGAAGTATGATAGAAAACTTTATCATGCTACTATCATCATTATCATCAAGAATTTGTAATCAGTTAGATATTTCCCCAATTGCAATCATTATTAGAATGATATTTGCCCTGAAGGCGAAATTGACAGCTGTGAGGTTGAACATTTAAAGTGTAGGGATGATATCTTCGAGAGCAGAAGATGAGGATGAGGAAAGTTCGATCATTTTGTCAGCTGGCAATTGTCTTCTCCAAAACACTATCATCTCCTTCTTCTTCTTCTTCTTCTTCTTCTTCTTCAGTTAAGATTGTTTAGTGTTGTTCAGTGTTGTATGTCTGTTTAACAATTTGATATTCTCTAATATATCTATTCTTTTGTAACAATTCATTAGATTTGATAATTTTTCATTAGTTAATATAAGAATAAGTATGTATAGTTTATATATAATATATCAGAATAAATATGATTATGTTTTATTGATTGATAATTATTGAATATAAAAAGCGATGAATTTAAGTTTACTATAGCATTGAGTATAGTATACCAAGTTAAGATATTATTAAGATTAGATAATAACCAGAATAAAATAATGTATTAGCTATGTTAAGATTAATGATAAGACTAGAATAGAATGAAATCGAATAGAATAGAATAGACAAATAATTATCAATGAAATTAGGATTATGAATATGATTATGCATATTATTATGTATGCATTATTTTGAATTTTATTTTATAACGATAATTTCGTAGTATAATATTTAATACATATAAACTTGAATTTTTCTTTATTTTAATTCTTATCAAAATTAATTAATTAAATTATTAATGCAATATTTGAATAAAAAAAAAAATTTGGTTGTTAAAATTTAATTTTTAGCAAATTGCTTGAAGTGCACAATTGTTCACATTCAATCATTCTTACCAACCATCTTTCAAATATTAGCAATTAAGCTATCAAGCGCATAGTAACGATTACTTCTCCTTATGGATGGAAAGTTTAAAAATCGATGGAAATGTTTTTCAATATTATAAAATTATTCCTACAACATTATGCCACTACTACTACTACTACTATTATCAGCAATAGAATTCTTGCTATTCCCGGTTTATACCAGTGTAGCGAATCGTAATGGCAATGGATGTGATGATCAGTGTGATCATTATGGTGATATTGTTGCTTATGAAAATTGTATGAGGAAATGTTCATCAGAACGATTTGCAACCAATACATTCACTAACAGACGTATTATTCTTTTCTCTCTTTATTATTCACTTAATTAAATTACTTAATTAATTATAATATGAAAATGTAATAGTAATTTTTTACATATTATTAATTATTAATTTAAACAAAAGAGAAAATTTTGAAATTGAATTTAAGCTAATTGTATTTAATTTTAGGATATCCGACACCACCGTTTAATATTAGCGTTGATACGATTGCAATTATTGGTAATGTGAAATTTTTAGAATCAACTGTTAGTTGGGATTTTGAACCTGGTAAATTTTGTATTTTAATTTGAAATTAATTAATTACTTCCTTTTATCTTTTTCTCATTCTTTCATTTCATCGTTCATTTACTAATGAATTTATTTCTTTGTCATTTCTACTGTATTCAATTAAGAAATATATATTTTATCAAAAGAAAAAATTAAAAATATTTTCAAATCTAAATAATTCTAATTTCAATATATTTCTATAATAGCTGGCAAGAAAAAAATAAATCTTTATATTTTGAAATATTTATTATCAGTATCTCCTGAGGACAAAATATTTCAGCGTAGACATCGTTAATGATTTGCAAATTCATGAAATTGATTTGAAATCGTTTGGATAAAAAGAGTGAACTGCTATACTGTATATAGAGAAGACTCTATAAG